CCCCAAAACCCCAAAACCCCAAAACCCCAAAACCCCATAATCTCAAATTCAGATTGAAGGTTCATCTTACAGATATTGTATATCTTAATCAGCTTCAGGCAGACTCAATTTCTGGGTTTGGAAACTCAAAAGCTTATTAACACTGGCATTCCTTGACTAAATACTAATGATGCTTAGTTTGAGTCATTTATTTGCTTTTGAGCTTAATGCTTTCAAGTTATTTCTTTCAATCTCTCCTGTCCATTCTGGAATAAGTATATGAGAGATTATTAAGCAGTTTATATTTGAGGAACTCGATGAATTCTGTCTTAACGGTATTGCTGGGCAAGTTTCCTTTGACCTTCTTTCTTTTGGAGTCTTTGATTAATATGCTATGCGCATCATTTTCTTGAATTCTTCTTCTGTGAAGAATCTTCTCTCATACAGATTGGAGTTCTTATTTGATAGCAATGAGAGTATATTTTATGTAGTATTTAGTGATGGATTATAGAAGTTGTCTGCAGTCTTGAATCTTTTCCTCTGTAACTGGACTTTTCTTTGAGGAAACTGGGGAAATCTTGGATCTCGATGGAGTCAATAAGGTCCTCCTCCTCTTTTATAATTATGAGTTTGTAATCTTACCTGGCTACTGTTGGTGGTGATCTATTATGATGACATCTTAAAATTAGAAGTTTTGCCATCTCTTCACTTCTTCTATCAGGGATCTCGAAGGTGTCAATGTTAGCTGCAAAGACTTTCTTCTTGATATCAAAATCTGAGACGTCTCGAGAGGATTATACATCAAAAGCTACTCCAAGTCCATTCTCTCTTTAGTAGCATATTTCTTATTAAGAATTATTGTCTTATGATTAGTGATTTAGAGGTAATAAGCATATTTTGATATGAAATTACTTAAGGTTTAGATCTTCTTGAGTACTCTAAATTAAGCTCTTGTACGCTCAAAGCTGGGACCTGGAACCAGTATTATAGTGCTGTAGTACTCACTATGAGTTGATACCAATAGCTTTCAGTCATGAAATCAGTAGTTAACTCTTGGAGTATCTATTTCAATGATTTTAGTACCTCGGAGGATACTTCAGGCAGTAATTCAAATATTAAGTAAAAGGTAGGATATGGGCACTTTTTTGCTTTCTTAATACCTACAATACACACATTAAGAATTTTATAGCATTAATATACTCACATCTAGTGAGATAGAAACGTATTTTAAACTTTTTGTAGGAAAGTGACACCTTTATGGAAGAAAATAGGTAAAGTTTATATTACTCCTAATAACTCTGTGATTGCTTGCAGAGCTGAGATCTTCTTCGGAATATTTCCTGATAATAGTATCATCAGAACTTCAACTGTTAAGGAGCTTTGTAAATCTTTTGATTCCCGCTTATCAGCATGGTTTAATTTTTAGGCGTCAAGAGGTTAGTAGAATTATACATTCAGGTTGGAATTCTTGTCTGATCCCCAACTAATTCATACAGAGTTTATTCTCTCTATTTCTTTTCAATCAGGGTCCCTCTAAATTTTAGATCATAACACCACTGCAAAGAAAGGGTTGTGCATCTTTGCTGATCTTTCCTATTTATACTCATTTTAAGAAACTTTTCAATAATCTTAATAAAATAGGGGTTTTGGGGTTTTGGGGTTTTGGGG